AGGGGGGGGCGGCGGTGGCGGGGACCAGCCACTGCACTCCAGACTGGGCAACCGAGTGAGACTCCAACTCAAAAAAAAAGAAAAAAAAAGAAAAATTATGTATATATAAGATCAATCGTTTAGACAATAAGTCCTGTAGCAGTAATTTCCCACCCTTTCTGTGTGGGGAATCAGATTTCCAACCCCACGTGATAGTTTTAGTACCTGAGGAAGAAAATACAAACTATGAATTGAGCAGTACTTTAAAGTGAATTTGTAACCGTATTTTGATAATCGCAACATCTTTAAACGCAGTCATACCTACATATGCAAGGTGTATTATTTACTTGGTTCACACTCACGCTTCTGAGTACATACTGATTCCAGGACCCCTTGCAAGACTTCAGAAGTCCTCACCCCAGAGGTTGCAGCTCACATTCTAGAAACCATTATCCTACTATGATTCAGAGAAGGAAAAGGGCTTTGTCTCTAGGTGAACCACCCAGATGAGAAGGGCAACCCCAGAACATTTGAGTGGGAGGGAAGGGCATTCTATCCAGGCAGAGAGAGAGCTTGAAGGATGGTTTGGAAGCAGAAATGCACAAGTTACATTGGAGAATTGAATAGTAGTGACAGTGTACAAGGCACTTCCCATATATTATCCCCCAATACTGTAAGGTTAGTATTATTGTCCTCACTGTACAGATGAAGAAACTGAAATTCAGAGATGTTTAGTGACTTGCTCAAGGCCGCTCAGCTAGGAAATGACATATTTAGGATTCAAATCCCTATCCAGATCCATTTCACTACAGGGACTATGCTCTTTCCACTGCCAGATAGCCTCTCAAGTGTGTAGCAATTAGGCCATTATGGCCCCAGTGGAAGAATAATGTTAATGAGAGGTAGGCGATGTTTGGTAGGGTAGATTGGGACCAAGTTGTGCAGGTCCTTAAACGCTAGGCAAAAACATTCAGCAACAAAAAGCTATCTTCTTGAGACATAGAATATTCCTGAGCAGAGGTAATAGAAAATACTGTTTTGTGAAAATCTGATGGGGAGAGCATGAGAACGGATTTTGGGTGAGTGGGAGAGAAGAATTCGACTTAGGAGAAAGGTCATTTGGAAGCCAGGGCAGTCATCCAGATAAGAGATGTTAAGGACTTGAATGAGGAGGGAATCGAAATGACAAAGAAAAAAAAAGAACATTTATAGAAATTGATGACTACTAGATGAGAAGGAGAGGAAAGTCACCAAACTAGTTGTACCGTCTTAGGATCCCGGAAGTTCATCTATCTGTAGGGCTTCTGGCCAGAGAAAAAGCCAAAGAGAGAAACCCCTGAGGAACACCTTTGACCTGCACAGAAACTTATCTGGAAGATTTTCAGAGTTTGAGATTCACCCTCTCACTCTAACCCAGTTTACCCTGACCTGCCCACATCTGTTAGCCTCCACTGAAAACCATTTAAAGTTTCTATTGAGGTTGGTCTGTCAGAGCCCATGGGATTCTTCATGCTAGTCACCCGAGCCTGGAGCTCAGAAAGAATGCCAACCTGTTTCCATTCCCCCCTTCTGCCATAGTCTGAATTTTTATTTTCCCCCAAAATTCATATATTAAAATCCTAACTCCCAAAGTGGTGGTAATTAGGAGGTAGGACCTTTTGGGAGGTAATTGGATTTCATAAGGGTGAGTCTTATTGGGATTAGTGCCCTTCTAAATAGGCCCAAAGGAGCTTGTTCACCCTTCCACCATGTGAACACACAGCAAGAAGGTGCTATCTGTGGACCAAAAAGCAGCCCTCACCAGACATCAAATCCGTCGACGCCTTGATCTTAGACTCTCTAGCCTCCAGAACTGTGAGAAATAAATTTCTGTTGTTTATAAGTCACTTAGTTTATGATATTTTGTTGTGTCAGCCCAAATGGACTAAAATACGTTCTCTGGGCTCTCCTCAGCTTTTCTAGTGGGGCAGAGCATAACGCGATTTGACCAGGACCAGAGAATTAGTAATGATGGAAATGTGACCATCTTTTCAACTCAATTAGTCATACAAGGTGAGAGGACAAACAGCCCCCTCCTCTAAAGACAAGGCTGTAGCTGGGACCAAAAGTAATGCCTCATAAACACTGCTGAGGTCATAGAAGCTTCCCTCTCCAGCCCCTGTATTCTCACTGGCACAGCCAGCTGGCTCCCACACATCTGCACACTTACCAACAAAGGCTGGGAAGGGTCAGACACCATCCAGGCACCCTTAGGTACACAAAAATGACAGGGAATGGGGAGGAGAGGCATATTTAGTATGTAGGGTTCACACCAGCATCCCCAGTGCTGGGAAGCGGAGATTCGTGCTATGATAGGCGGAATGGGAGTGAGGAAGGGAGAGAGCAGAGAGTGACAGAGAAGACAGGAGTTGTTCTGATTTTTAATCAGTTGTTGACTGACTTTTTTTTTTTTTTTGAGTTGGAGTCTCACTCTGTCGCCCAGACTGGAGTGCAGTGGCCACTCCCAACCACTGCAGCCTCGACCTGCTGAGCTCCGGAGATCCTTCCGCCTCAGCCTTCCAAGTAGCTGGAACCACAGGCACTACCACGCCCAGCTAATTTTTTGATTTATTGTAGAGATGAGGTCTCACCAAGTTGCCCAGGTGGGTCTCGAACCCGCAGGCTTGGGCAGTCCACTCACCTCAGCCTCCCAAAGCGTGGGATTACAGGCTGAGCCACCGAGCCCGACTTGTTGACTGATTTTTATCTTAACCTTCATTACTCTGTCTTCCCTTCCCTTCCTCTCTCACCCTCAAGTCTCCCCCACTACTGCCCTCTCCCACCTGTAGCCCACCATGGAATCAGAGGCAGAGAGAACATTCCATCGGTTTGCTGTCTTTGGGGACTCATCAAGCAGTGGCACTGAAATGAACAATAAGAACTTCTCCAAGCTGTGCAAGGACTGTGGCATCATGGATGGCAAGACAGTCACCTCCACGGATGTGGACATTGTGTTCAGCAAAGTCAAGTGAGGAACCAAAAATATGGGGGTGGGGTAAGTAGAGCAAGCAAGGTAGTTGGCCATGGAAGGGATCATGTGGCAGAACATTTGCAGTGGATCTGCTGCACTCTCTCAGAGTACCTCACGCTGTGCTATTCTCTGTCCTTGAGGCCTCAGTGATAGGACAAAAGGGGCTGAGTCTGAGTGTGGGAAGGGTCGGACCTTGGAAGGTAATGTATTCATGCTCCAAAGTTCCTGGATTTCTGTCTGATTGACCAGGGCCAAGAATGCCCGGACCATCACATTTCAGCAATTCAAAGACGCAGTGAAGGAACTGGGCCAGAAACGCTTCAAGGGAAAGAGCCCAGATGAAGCCTTGGAGGACACATATAAACTCATGGAGGGCAAGGACCCTGCCACCACTGGTGCTACTGTAAGTGACAGTCTTCATCACTACCCCTTGACCCTACTTCCCTAAATCCCACTATTTCTGTCTCCCCTTGTACCTGCCGTGTCCCTAACTCTGCCAACGGTGTGACTGTAGGAATAGGGCAGACTTTAGAGATCATCTAGTCATTTCATAGGTAAGGAAACTGAGGAAATGATTTGTCCAGGGTTTGTAGCTATTTTGTTTTAACATTTTTTCCCATAGCTTTGGAGGTGTACAAATAAGTTTTGGTTACATGACTGCAATGTAGTGTCAAAGAAATCTGGGCTTTAGGTGTACCCACCACTCCCACCTGTGCATGTTGTATCCAATAGGTGATTTCTCATCATCTCTCCATTCTTTCTTCCCCTCCCTCTTCTAAGTCTCCAGTGTCCATTATATCGTTCTTTATGCCTTTGCAGATCCTTAGTTTAGCTCCCACTTTCAAGTGAGAACATATAGTGTTTGGTTTTCTGTTCCTGTGCTAGTTCACTTAGAATGATGTTCTCCAATTCCATTTCTGTTGCTGCAGAAGACATTATTTCATTCTTTCTGAAGGCTGAATAGCGTTCCCTAGTGTGTGTATGTGTGTGTGTGTGTGTATATAAAAAACATTTTCATTATCCACTGATTGGTTAATGGGCATTTAGGCTGATTCCACATCTTTGCAATTGTGAATTGTGCTGCAGTGAACATGCAGGTACAGTCATCTTTTTAATATAATTGCATATGTTCTTTTGAGTAGATACATAGTAGTAGAATTGTTGGATCAAACAGTAGATCTACTTTTAGTTCTTTGAGAAATCTCCATACCAATTTCATAGAGGTTATACTAATTTTTTTTTTTTTTGAGTTGGAGTCTCACTCTGTCACCCAGGCTGGAGTACAATGGCATGCTCATGGCCACCACAGCCTTGACCTGCTGGGTTCAGGCAATCCTTCTGCCTCAGTCTTTCAAGTAGCAGAACACAGGCACGTGCCACCATGCCCAGCTGATATTTTTGTAGAGATGAGATCTCACCAAGTTGCCCAGATTGGCCTCAAACCCATGGGTTCAGGCAATCCTTTCACCTCAGGCTCCCAAAGTGCTGGTATTATAAGCGTGAGCCACCACACCCGTTATTTTTATTTTATTTTATTTTTTTGAGTCAGAGTCTCACTCTGCACCCAGGCTGGAGCTCAGGGACATGCTCATGGTCACCGCAGACTCAACCTGCTGGGCTCAGGCGATCCTTGCGCTTCAGCCTTCCAAGTAACTGGAACTACAGGCACACACTACCATGCCTGGCTGATTTTTTTATTTATTCTCAAGACGAGGTCTCGCCAAGTTGCCCAGGTGGATCTTGAACCCTCGGGCTCAGACTGCCTGGCCTCCCAAAGTGCTGGGATTACAGGCTGAGCCACTGAGCCTGGCCCCATAACTATTTTAACAGGTGAATTTAGACTCATTTCCAAGTCTCCAGTATCCGAGCTAGGCAACTAGGACTTCGTGGCTTTTGTAGGACATTAATGTTGAGGACTTGGTACCTGATCCCCATTCTTTTTTCCTGCTCTTTTTTTTTTTTTGAGTTGGAGTCTCACTCTGTCGCCCAGACTGGAGAGCAGTGGCC